AAAAAAAAAAAAACAGAAGAGTTGCGGCTGTTTTAGGAAAAGGAAAAATGATTTATTTAGGAAACGGAGTGCTGGAGGCTGAGAAGCACCGACAGTGTGTGCAAGTCAAAACATAATTTAAGAGGAAGATGTTCAGTTTGTTCTTTCCACAGGATTTGTTGACAATTAGGAAGCTAAAGAATATCATCATCCTTTTCCTTGAACTCACTATTACCACATATTGGGTTTAGTTTAATCCACAAGGCATCATATTATATAAAGTGATTATTTTCAGGTTTTTCTTTCTCAGAGTTGAGCCTTTATATTTATACTGCTCTGGGTGTAGGTTTCAGCCGTAGTACAACGTGTCCAGTGTGTGAGCAGCATCTATATTGAATGACTGTGTGCTTGTACCTCCTCAGGCGGGTCGAAGTTCAAAGCGTCAGCTCGTTCTGTTTCCTGGAGGAATCGAACGCCATGTGAAAATCAAAACCTGCTCTGTAGGTGTTCAGCTTCTGTTCACCAGTACAGCCGTCTATAAGGAGCTGGGTTCTCACAGACGTGTGTGTTTGATGCTGTTGTATTTTTTTCAGCTTGCCCTGGAGGTGATTGAGGAGCTGTGCTATGAGATGGGTTTACACAGGCTGGAGGCCATGGAGGAATACGCCATATTTTTAGTCACCAACAGAGGTGTGCTCACAGCTGCTACTTCTCCCTCTCTGTCACGCACACATATCAAACGTTGGATTAGTTAATCATCCTCTTCATTGTCGGTGGAGCAGAACCAATCACAGATCACATATCGGGCTACTGCTTTGGTTTCAAGCTGCGACACAAAGTCCATCGAGTGCCGACATAACTGTCGTGGTAAAATAGCAACAGCATTCTCAATATCAGCGTCTAATTTCTGATACAGATACCACGAAACACTGACGTCTCCGTCTATAACAATCCGACGCACAATTTCCTCTCGTGTTTAATTTTGCCTGATGAGTCAAATATGTCCCATGAGTGAATTAGTACATTGTTCACTTTTGTTTCTTCTGCTTTATGAAGTTTTCAGTGTTGAGAGCTGCAGCACTGATTTCGCCCCTTGGAGCGCTCCAACAGCACACTTTGCATTGTGTTGTTTATTTTTCCTGTTTTAACATTAAATATCTCCACATGACAACAGCTGACAGCTGCTCACGCCTCTATGCTATTCAGAAACACAGCAGGCCACACAGCATGTGGCTCTACAAACATTAAAATGACTTTTCTATAAGTTTTACATCGTGTCTCTGTAGTTTATATTCTGCCGCTAGAGGTCGGATACTGATCCTGAGCTGTGGACTGACAATCCTGCACAGAAACATGTATTAGTTCTTTATCTGAGTTGTTCAATTTAGATAATACCCATATCTCTTTGGAACCAATAACCATCTATTGTTTTGCACGTGAGTCCAGGTCAGAATGTGCGTCCTCTGAACAAACACGAGTACATCCTGGACGTTGCGACGGAGGCCGAGGTGGTCGACACCGACTACAGCTTTTGGTTCAGACGAGTCGTCTGGACTCAACCGCTCAAGTTTGAGAATGAGCTGTGTGTGGCGATGCATTATAACCAGGTACAACAGGTGACGTTTCACGTACACACAGTACACTGGTGGAGTTCATGTGTGTACGTAAACGCTGTATGTGTGTATTTGCAGATCCTGCCGGATTACCGTAAAGGCCTTCTGAATGTTCTCCCACATGGGAAAGTGAGCGATCAACAGTTCCACCAGATCTCCAAACTGGCAGCTTTGCAGCAAAGAGCCAAAGACATCATCTTCATCCCCAGCATGTGAGAAAACAGACACAAGGAAAAATGGCTGACGTGTTCTTGTTCGGCCCCTCAGTCGATTGTTTGAAAACACGTCAATAATTTCAGGTTACAGAGCCACGTTCCCGAACCCATCCGGGTCAACAAGTGTTTTTCATTTGCTTCACTAGTTCTTTCCAATTTGCTCACTCCTGTCCGACTCTTTTGCCTCTAGATGGAAACTGGAGAAATCATAATTGGATTTTTACCACCATATTGAAAAGTGCTGACACTGAAGATGCGTGAATGAAAACAAAACATTTTTGTTGTTTGTGATTGATGCAGAAAAAGGAAAATGATTGAGTTTGAGTAAAAGTGCAGAATTTTTCTTTTGTCTCCCGTGGAAGCAAAACATTTCACTTGATTGGCTCGATATTCTTTTTTTTTTTTTTTTTTTTTTTCAACTTTTTTTTTTTTAATGTTGTTTCTTGCTCTTACCGACGTTATCGCCGTCTCCGTCCGCCCACACGCTCAGCCAGCCGCAGAGCGGAGTCGACTCGCTGAGCCGC